CTCTCTTGTGTAGTTTCTTGTGAGAGGCCCGGTGATAAACAGGTTTGCAGTCAGAGTGACGCGCCGTCTAAACACACGAGGGGGAGACGGAGGAAGAAAAGTTCACAAGCTCCAAGTGACGATTCGCCAAATCAAACACAGAACGAGAATTCAGTTCTGGTCAATCAACTGTGCACTGAGTTATCTAGCAATGAACAGTCGACTTTAAAGACCGTTGAAACTGTCAGATACCAGGTCGGGGATAAAAAGTCAATTTAAAACTCGAACAGGAAGAAGGTGATACCAATGAAGCGTGGTCAGACGAAATTTATGTTATTCTTCGCGCTCCTACTGAGTCGCGACCACAGTATGTGTTGACTAGCAGACAGCAGAATAAACTGCGACTCTTAGTAGATGAGGAGGAGTTGAGGAAATGTGTTGCGAACTATTGACCTAATTAGTTGTGTGCAGAAAGATCAGCTGGTCAAGGTGTGTCTATTGTTCGCGGTGTGGTTTGTGTTTTTTTATATTGCAGATTTGCTTGTTGTGTGTTATTGACGATTGTGTACATGTTAAAGATGCTGCAAGTAGCTAGAGATTATGTTATGTCATGAAAATAATTGTGTTTCTGTGGTCAATGCACAGTAAATGAAGAACAGGAGTTAAGGAAGGATTGGTAAACAATTATTGTTAGGTATTGTGTAGTTGTCGGGACGCCAACAGATTTGATGAGGAGACCTGAAATAGGCGCTGGACGACTGTTACATAAATTGAATTAGGCCTATTTAAGCGACCTAAAAACCTGGCCAACTTGGGGGTCAGGAAGTGATAAAACAGACTGGAGTGACCATTTTCGCCCTCTTAGGCTCACTGGTTTTAGGACGAGAAACATGTAGTTCTGATTTGTCCGTTGCGTTCAATGATTTTACGCAACGTGGGTTGAGGTGTGTAGAGAGAAAGATAGGTTTCATCTATTGTAGGGTATTTCCTAACACGTTGTGAATTTTAATGCATTATTATTTGTGAAGACCTTAGATGATGTTCAGTGAAATAAATAGATGTGAATTTGATAATTATAGTTCCAGTTGCTTTGCTTCAGATTAGGGTTTGTGGTTAGTGTGTGTAGTTTGTTTATTTGTTACCTGGCTTTTTAGACTTTACACAGAAGATCTTGTGTCTGGACTAGAAAATCCCTGTTTCTAGTCCCCACCTAAACGAACTATTTTCCTTTTTTTAATCTTGGTACTTAGGGCTTCTCCACCCTAGTACAGTAAGTAAGTAGATTTCGGTAGTTGCGTTGGAATGTAAGTAATAGTTAAGAAGTTAGATTTATGTAGATAGATACATGCTGCAGGAGGTGGATTATAGAGAGGCATGATCGCCCACGCAAGTCGGCAAGGCACCTGATGATGGTGATGATAAGATTTTGGTAGGTACGTTACGTAAGTAGGTGGATATGATTCTATAGATAGATATGTGGTTAAGTTGTGAAGTAGATAGGTATTTATGTAATTACGTACGTAGATAGATATCTTTAGTATAGTAGTTTCGCAAATACGTAGACATACTTTAGATAAGGCGATCTCTTTAGCCTTTCAAATCGTCAGTTTCAAGTAGAGGCAGTTTAATGGCACACATATTGAACACAGCCTCACCATCGAGCTTGTTCTAATCAATACTGTTTTTTCATACTATACCATGGTAACACATTATATTGATCGTTATAAAACCGACTGAATTTGTTTAGCGTGTTGTGTGTAGGACAACCGCTTATGTAAACAGGTTTAACATAAATTTATAAATCACGTTCGTTTTATCTGTTTTTCTTGTCTACTCGCATTTACTGTTAATGAATGAAAAAGGAATTACAAATATAACAATTTGATGTCGTATTCATTAATATCTTTCGCGTGCTTAAATAGCTGAATATGGTTTACACCAAATAAACATCTCGTCATCCCCTTATGAGATGCAATTGTTAGTTATTTTGAAGTCCCATCTCGGCGTTTGTCGGGGGCCCTAAATATAGCCAGGCCTTTAATATGGCCTAACATCTGGAAGGGGTTTTGGGGATCTCTCCACGGGTGATCCTCATCCGCATGGTGACACTCTGTGTCACCGGGTGTTTATCTCTTGTATGATATCCTGGCGGGTTACAGCTTACATATATACATACAGCAAATAAATGAGTCGTCTAATTTAATTTTTGTATCCTATATATTTCTTTGTGTTATATATATAACTCTGTGGCTAAGTCGATGAGAACGCTTCGTAACGCCGGGATTCCGGGTTCGATGCCAGCTGCTGGCCATGCGCCTTACGTTGGTTTCGACAGCGGTATCAAGAAAGCCGACCGTCCAGGAAGCAATGGCAAACTACTGGACATAAATTTGCCTAGAAAAACCACATAACAGCCAGGTGCTGTTGGGGTTGGTTCTGCAACGTCCTGTAAAGGATACGCAACTAACCTTTTTTTTTTAAATGTGTGTGTGCGCGAGCGAACTTATATATTTATTCTGCTACACATCACATGCTAGGCTGCTTAGAGCATCCAGACATGTTACTTTTTAAACCCGTGTTTTTCAACAGAAAAAAAAATAACTTGTCGACTGATAAGTGTTGTTTGCTCGATTACTGTAGTTCTCTCCCATATTATGTAGCCACTATAGATATTTACTAGTTGAAATGTACACTACTGATAACATTCTGGCCTAACATTATTAATTTATAATTGAGTTTTTTAAAAATAAACAGTAAACATTACAACAAATGAGATGAGACGTATTAGAAATACGCCGGGACAAACAGACAGTCACTAACGAAGAACTAAGAATAATGAAGGCATAGTGCTGATCCTTTTTTTTTTATCCAGACACTATGAGTTGTTAACCCTTTGGCTCGGTACTTTAGCCATGATTCCATGATAGATGTGGCTTTTCTGCCTAACTCCGGGCGTGAACCCAGACCACAAGGAGTTCGTCATCCGGTTGCTGAGTAGTCAGGTTTAAAAAACTGATCTAGCAAAGGGCCCACAGTACCGGTAATTGTTTTTAGTAACATATGACATAAATGACAGTGCACATTTATACAAAAAGATAGTCACTATTGCCACTATTCTAGTGCTAGACCATAAACAGGCATAGATTGTTTAAAAGCATAAAATAAAGTTTTTAATGATGATGATGATTATATTATAATGATGATGATAAGTTTAGGCTGTCTAAAATAAATTGAAACTAGCAATATTTTAGTTTCAAAGCAATCTTTGACCTAAAGTGGGAGAAACTAGACAGCATATGCGTATGCAAGTAGTGGTAATGGAAGGGTAGAATGTTAGACGGGTCTGCGTGCCCAATTCTCCTTCGAAAATACAGTTTATTCGTTCGTTGGTATATGCCATTCGAATGTTAAATGTTGAATTAAGAATCAACACCACAGCATTCGGGACTCTCCCAAAAGTGCCCTGTCCCCATCTTCAGCAGCAAGCGATGAGTTCCAATTCCGATGGTACCAGTAACCGTCTGATTGTATATCCGTCTCATCCTTCCCCCTGAGTGTTGAGCGTCGGCCAGATCTCCTGATAACTCCTCGTAGCCTTATTCTCCTCAGACCGTAATGATCTATCTGCGCCTCCGCACTGTTCACTCGCTGCCAAAAGGCCTTCACACCATGTAACTTGTCATACATTAATGCCATTCGAAAAACTCAGAAACAGATTAGGAATGCCTGCATCTGCAAATTATTGCTTGTACAGGGCGCAGTAATGTGTCGCACCCAGTGATTCTGGCAGACCGTCCAAACTTATTTTACTCTGTCGTTTAGAAACAGCTGTAATTGTGTGTGTGTCAGCTTTATGTTTCACATCTTAGAGCACTTACGAACAAGTGAAATGGCAATTTAAAAAAAAAAAAAACTATGCTTACAAGTTACCTTAAAATCAACATTTTTTAGAAGTTTTTTTTTTTTATTTGTTTCATGCACACACCACATACGCACAAACACACACACTCACTCACACACATATATATATTTATTTGTAGGGGCGTGTGTGTGTGTGTATATATATATATATATATATATATATATATATATATATATATATATATATATATACATATAGAAAGAGAGAGAGAGAGAAAGAGAGATCCTGCACTTGGGAAAAAGTGTAAACTGCCGTCGTGTAGCGGCTAGTTACTCGCCTGCGGATTAGAAGATCGTGCGGTTTAAATTAGAACAGAAACGGACAATTTTTTTAATGACATTGGCTCACTGAAGTAAAGTCGGCTAGCGTGATGTTGACCACATTACCCTTCAAATGCTGACCAGTCTTTAAAATATGGAGATCTATTTGGCAAACCATGGTTTGAAGCAGGAATAGAATTACCATGCAGGACGACGTCCAAGTGAAATCCTAAGACAAACGTTGATGAGAAAGGCTAAAGGTGCTAGCCTAGATGCTATTTGTTTATAGTATCTAAGCTTTGCGTAGGATAGAACGAAGTGAAGAAAAATACTGTGAGCGCTTTGTGTCGCATAAACGGCAAAACAGGATGATGGTGAGACTAGATTAAATAATTACCCTACGCAAAAAAAAATATGCAACAATACAAGTAGAATGATAACATTAAGTAAGCGAGAATGGTGTAAAATTATTGCGCAAGACACATAATGGAGATGCTGTAAGCTAACATTCACTGCCATGTTTCATATTCGTACACACATTCACAAATGAATACACACACACACACACACAAATATATATATATATATATATATATATATATATATATATGTGTGTGTGTGTGTGTGTGTGTGTAAAGGACGAAGTAGGACGAATTTAAAATAGAACGAATTGTGGCATGACGAATATTGGAGTTTTACTGTCTTATAGGTGTGTAACCCTGTAACACTCTAACTCATATGACAATAAAGTATTCATAATTACTGTCCTTAAGCTTAACAAATCCCCACAGGTTTGATAATGTAAGATATCTCTGTCTCTGTATAAAGTAGGTGGGGTGATGTCTAGAGAGTTTGAGAAACAGTTCAATAACCTTACTTTGGAATTACTTAACGAGCAAGAAAGACAACTGCTCTACAAGAGTCTGACCAGATATTTGAGAAACAAAAACGTGACAGAATTTGCCGTAACTGTTAGAGAAATCTGCGACACACCATTCAAGGCCGTCCTGCTAGATTACATCCGGGGATATTTACCAAAGTCGGATAAGAAACAGTTTGATAAAACTACTGCCCTCAGCCGGAGGGAATACATTGCAGGGATGGAGGTCGTCCCCAGGTCAAAGTTCACAGGTGAGTTGTGAATTTTATTTTTTTAACAAACAATTTTGTTATTCATGATTGCAAGTCGACAGATAAAAGCACAGATGTTTTCTGAAATTATTTAATGTTTAATATACACAAGCTGTTTATCAGCATAACGTCTTCTTTTCACACAGCCCATTCTCCCTCCCCCACCCCTTTTTCCTCTCCTTTTCCCTCCTTTTCTTCGATCTCCTTGTCATCAGTTTTCGTCTTCATCTTATTCTTCTCCTCCTTTACCTCTTCTTCGTTCTTTATTTTTTTTTTCTTCCTCTTCTTTATTTTTTTTGTTTTTCTCCTGCTGGAATTACTACTTTGAAGGGGTTTTTTCTCTGTATCTTTTCAGAGCATAGTTGTGATATGCTCCTTTCGGCTACACATTCGGGTATTTGAGAACTGGTTAGCCTTCTCTTGTCAGTTGAATCACAATAATCAGGTTTTATGACAGTGAAGTGTATTAATTTTAGATCCCCATTTTTGTAGACTAACAGGTGATGAAGCTAATATCTGAATGACTGACTGTCACACAACAGGTGATGAAGCTAATATCTGAATGACTGACTGTCACACAACAGGTGATGAAGCTAATATCTGAATGACTGACTGTCACAAAACAAATGTGAAATTCCATCTGAATTGCCCGCCAGAAGGATGGACCGCCTTAATAATGGAGGGTAGTTTATTTGAATTAACAAACAAATTGAAACAGGGTGGTAGAAAAATGTGTATGGAAGCGTGCACAGGGGTCAAATTAAATTGAATCCTCTAGTCAGCGACACAGTTCAGGACATGGCAGAAATGTTTCTAGAAACCTATAGAATGATAGAGCCAGTCTGAAGACGGGGAGAACGGAAAGATGGTTTGAGAAACAAAAGTCGGCAAAGACCGTGTTAGGGACCAGAAAATGTCCAGACATGCAGTTTTAATTGGAAATTGCAGAGAAAGGCTTTTCTCCTGTATTGCCAACATAACAACTTGTGTAGGCATGAAGATGGTCTCCTCCAGCTGAAAGTTGTAATAACAGTGCCCATTCTCCAGGAGTTTATGTGGTTGGAGATCTCAGACTGTCCTATTCAAGAAAAAGGCAGACTTTAGACCGTGAACCCACTGGCTTGGCGATAACAATGCCTAGCCTAACTCTGCAAAGGATTGTGTATATGGATGTGAGGGTGCTGTGTTAAAACTAGCCTGATCCAAAGAGATGCAGAGACTAGATCCTGAGCCATGTGCTGGTTGCAGTAATGACAGTCTACAATCTGCCAGAAGCTATTGCTGTGTAAGGATAATACTGTCTAAATAATTTACTTTGTACATTGATGCCAGTCTATACTTTGCAAGAACTGGATGTGCAATGTGATGGAGAAGTAACAGTCTACAATATGATCTCAGATATAAGGCACCAGTTACCTACAAGGGCTACAGTTACCTACAAGGGCTACAGTTACCTACAAGGGCTACAGTTACCTACAAGGGCTACAGTTACCTACAAGGGCTACAGTTACCTACAAGGGCTACAGTTACCTACAAGGGCTACAGTTACCTACAAGGGCTACAGTTACCTACAAGGGCTACAGTTACCTACAAGGGCTACAGTTACCTACAAGGGCTACAGTTACCTACAAGGGCTACAGTTACCTACAAGGGCTACAGTTACCTACAAGGGCTACAGTTACCTACAAGGGCTACAGTTACCTACAAGGGCTACAGTTACCTACAAGGGCTACAGTTACCTACAAGGGCTACAGTTACCTACAAGGGCTACAGTTACCTACAAGGGCTACAGTTACCTACAAGGGCTACAGTTACCTACAAGGGCTACAGTTACCTACAAGGGCTACAGTTACCTACAAGGGCTACAGTTACCTACAAGGGCTACAGTTACCTACAAGGGCTATAGTTACCTACACTGGCTGATTGCCTCAACGCCACTCTATCTTATCCGGCTTCTTCTGCTGCATGTGTACATTTTCCATTCTGATTCAAAAGAGGGGCATAACTCAGAACCTGAACCTGTTGAGTATCCAAGTGACAGTAGCATGCCTGCTCATGATGATACACGGTAAACCTAATACAATGAAGCAATATCCATATGTACATTCATAGGCCTAGACCTAAAGCACTCTGGAACTTCAACTGAAGAAAGATTTGTTTAGGACCAAATTAACAAGATAATTTATAGGAGCACTGTTGTCATACTCTTGATCCATTGTTTTGTGTGAGTCCCGTAAGCTTGTAAACCATAGTGCTTTGGCACTACATTATATGTTTCGCCCTGAGTATATTTTATGATTATTATATGTTGCTTCAGTGTGATCAATAAATTTTGAAAGATTACCTTTATTCTTATTGTTTTAACCATAAGTATATTTGGTGGTTCTACAAGAATGTTTCTTCATCTTCACTGTGAAACACAGTTGAGTGCTTATAAATTTTTAGTTGGTCTTTAACTAGAAATTTCCCAGGTGTCCACATTTTTTTTTTAATTTTCAGTGGGTCCCGCCTACCATCTAGTTCCAACAACAGGAATTGCTGTCTATTTATATAATATCCTGGGGCAAACCAATTAGATATCATTAAATTAGGGTCACTTCAGCAGTTTTGGCATGCCTGAATTAAGGAGTGATGGCTTCCTTTTAAGTTTATTCCTCTCCAGAAAGACCGACTGTCATTCTTCTTTTTGTGTAACAATGACGTTCAGCCCCACCCCAGGACATCACACCAAGCGATAAATACCCGATGATCCAAATTGCCAGCATTCGGATGAGGATCCCCAGGGGACAGGTGCCAGAAAAAATCGTTCAACCCATAAGCTGGGTTATATTAGGGCCCCGGGTAACAGGCAGGGTGGGGCTTTGAAACAACATAAAATGGACGCGTATGATAATTGGTAGCTGATATCTCTAACAGCCCTTGCTTCATAGAACATCTCATGACATCAAGGGTGGATCACACACGGAGCATATTTCAGTTTGTGTAACAGTCTTGACCTCTATGAGGATTAAATACATGTTTATTCGACAGGTAGGCAAGTCTGATAGGCTCTGCGCCGTCGCAAATCCGATTGATTTAAAAGTAATATTCAGGAAAAAATGAAGCTCAAATATTTAGAAGGTGAGAGGTTAAAGGTTAGATGATAAATTTTTTTTGCGCTGGGTTTTATTCCACATGGCTTGGTCTCCATGCGCAGAGTGACCAGCCGCCCGCAGAGAGTGTCACATAAAGCATGAACTCCGTATCTCCTGTGACGATCCTCAGTTATCTCCATAAATAGTTTGCGTGTGAACCGAATAATGCAACCGTGAAACAAATCCACGATCTTCAGAGGTCCAGGCAAAAGTCTTTTTCACTTCGCCAAGGAGATGCCAGTCATATAATACGTTGACTGTTATTATCAGTATGGTAGGTCCCCCGTGTGGGTTCCGGGGCCCCATTGTTGGGAAAACAAGAATAGACCCACTGCCTCCCCAAAAGCATGTCGTAAGAGTCGACTAATTGGGGAGCTTCCTTTGAAGTCGGAGTGCATCTGCCGGAGAGGCAAGGAACCAACAGTCTGTATTCAAGAGAATGAAATCTGTAAAACTGATGCACACGCAACACTCAGGTTCTGGAGCAGGACTGCAGTTCAGTAGTGGACGAGCAACCAGAACCTTCTGCCAGAGTTTACAGCTGGTGAACGCGAAGAAGAAGAAGAAGAAGAAGTATGGTAGGTCTTATTGTATTTTCGTCCATTCGAGGTTATGTAATGATAATTTCCAGTTTCACAGCTATCTTATATATATATGAAAGATACATGTCCATATTTTAAGTTATGCAACACTTCTGTGGCAGAATTTTTTAAAGGGGAAACTGAAATTTCCGCGGTCTTATTAGGTTAGAAACGATGGTTCTTTGATTAAATTGTGAGAATCAGTACTAAAGATATTACCATCAATGTATCGCTCAGACTTGATAAAGATTCTCCACTATCTCATTCTTGTCATACATCTCTTTATCAGCATTATCTTCTTCTCCTCCTCCTTACTGTTCTTTAGATCATTGATTTGAAGGATATTTCACTATCATGGCTCACTACTTCTCTCTAACTCATCTGTAATTTAAACAATTTTGGTGTCGCTACAGTATCAATGTTGCCCATGTGTGTGCATTTTTCACCTGCACGTGTTTATCTATCACTTATACGTTCCGTCTTTCTTCCAATCCTTGTTGCTCTAAATATTTCCCCCTGAGACTAACTTTTTGAACCGGGAGAAACAGCTAATGCCGTGCCAGAAAAAAAAAAAAAACATACACAAGGGAAGGAAACAGTATATGATGTATAGAAAAAAAAGCAAATGTCAGGAACAGCAACAACGCGTGCACTATATATAAAATCCAATTGCAGTGTGAAAGATTAATGGTTGGAAAGGCTTGATGTAAGACTGGCCTGCGTCTCAAATGCGACCTTTTGAAAATAAAGTTAGTTCATTCGGTCATGCCTGGTTCAGAATCAACCAATGTTTTGTTCAGAAAGAACACATGTCTATATCAGAACCAAGCCTTAGAAGTGTTTACATATTGATTTTCATTGCCTTAACCATTTAGCAAGATCTATGATCTTAAATAGGAACAAACTCACAGGGAGCAAGTACAGCAGGGATCTACCAGTCGTCAGTAGAAATTATCCTCGTCGACAAGCGTTTCGGCCCACGATTCCTAGACGCTTTCGGAGGTGGGCCCACCTGAGTTCATGAAGCTCAGGGCTAGTACCCTGCTGCACAAGATTACCGGATGGTATTTTTCTTTTGGATAGGGACAAGACGACTTGGTGGTTTCGCAGAAGGTACTGTGAGATAAGAAGTCGTTGCGGCAGCCTAATTAGAACAGTCAGCATGCCTGGACGACCGAGCGACAAGCTTACGTTTGGTTTACCGGACACATGTTGGACTTTTATTAGCAGGTGGCAGAGGATCACTGGCAGACAATTCGGACACGATGGACTTTCAAGGGGTGAG